CAATGAGTGTTCTGCAAGAAGCGTACAACACTTTATCAACTTTGTAATTGGATCCAATGTCAGCAACCTTTAACCGGATACATGAGCAATTATTAAATTGATGCTGGGATTCCTACCTTAACAACTTCCTTTACGGCTTGCATACATTGTGGACCAAGTTGGAGATTTTTGTCAGCAGACTGGAAAATGTTGCTTACTTTCAAATGGTTTTAACTTCAAATTGACCATTCGTTTAGAATTAACAGGCATTTTCATATTACACAAAATTTTCGTGTTAGTCAATCCCTACGATACGTTCTTAAAGAAGAAAGTCAAAAAAGGGTAAAAGGCCGTGATAAGAGTAAAAAACCTCTTAGGAAACAGATATGTAATGGAAAACAACACGCACCGACGCGTGCTCCATCAAACAATGCAGTGTTCTTCCCTCAGCTTCTATATCTCCTCTTGGACTACACCATCTATCAATCTCTTGTGCGCAATGCAGCACTAATTCTGGCGCCATGCGGAATTCGGTGAGCATCATTTGACGGTGAGTCAGCATCTCATGTTGGCATTGTGCTGATGGTGGGTTTGTGTCCTAAATGGAGCTATTTAAATGACGATGCCTTGATATAGCGTTTAAGAGTACCTTTGCAACGTGGGCGCCATTCTCCAAGCACAGCAAAATCCATGCCAAATGGAAATGAGCAGCTGATTCATATTGGCTCTGTGGTTCGCACTTATAGCTGGAAAGTGCAAAAGTAAAGATGAGAATCTTTCAGTTTCATGAAAACATCTCTGTTAATTCTAGAAACAAACTCAATTCTCTCCGAGGTATGCAAATTCTAGTTATCCTGCAACATCATCTTGCCTTTATTTTCTTGCAAATAACTTTAATTACTTTCGCGATATCATACATTCACCCTTCCTTCCCACTATTCTATGACTGCAAAGACTGCACGGTGCAATGTTCTCTTGCTCCGATTTGATAGCTTCTCGCTATTCATCTGCGATGCAACACGAAATGA